CTTCTGAAAGACCCAAAAGGCATGCTTAATTGTATTTTCTCTTGTCCTTGAATATATATGATAAAACTTGAAACAGATATTAATATTCTACCAGAGAAAAACAGTTTGCAAATTCACCAGGTTTTGACCAGTCATTAAAAACAAGACATATTAATTGAAGCTAGGTTCAACGCCTTTATTATGTGAAAATCTGATTTTTAAAAATCTGATTAAAATAGTAGAACCTGTGAAATTCTTGCAGCATTGATGAAATTTAAATCTTAATTATTTAATGATTTTGTATTAAATTTATAAGAACTTAAAGAATTTGAGATCTTATTTTCTATATAAGCCCCAGTTCTATGTCCAAGGGAATGTAAACCTGGCTTGAGTGGCTCAGTTGGTTAAGAGCTCGCTCAAGAGTTTGAGCTCTGAGCAACAGCGGTTCGAGGCCAGCCCGAGCTGAGCAGCCGCTGAGCTGCCAATAGGTAGCAGGATGGCTCAGCTAAAAAAAAATAATAATCTTATTTTTGTTTATCTGCTGTAAAAATATATGCCTTGTCATACTACATGACTAAACCACTGAGAACTGTTAGAGATTTCTGCCCGTAACACCTCTTCTAATCAATGTGCTATAATGCCAGATAATCTCTTATTAAAAGAATAATCTCCTAATTGCTGATTTCTTGACACAGACGGCCTCGAGTATCCTCCACAGAGATGAACAAGAAAATGACTGGCCGAAAACTGATCAGACTATCTCAGCTCAAGGAAAAGATAGCACGTGAGAACCTGGAAGAAATAGACTGGGTGACATTTGGGGTTATACTGAAGAAAGTCACTCCACAAAGCAGTAACAGTGTGAGCTATTTTATTGCTTTCTTAGCTGCTTCGTCACAAACTGGCAGTGGGGACTCATGTTCTTGATTAGTTACCCAGAGCTCATCAGTATTTCATTTTGAAATAACTGCTAGTAAGTCCTCAAGTTGCCACACCGTCTTTGGGCTGCTTGCTGTCCAAGGGGGATATGTCCTACTTAAAGAAGATTTGGGTGTATATGTTTCTTGGGCTTTTCATTGTCCACATCTGTCCATATCCATTTCACTTGTCATTGTTTTTGGTGACACATGGTTGCCCCTGTGATACTGTAATCCCTCGTGTGCAGGACAGGAGCAAGCAATAGAAGAGATGGAGCTCACAGTTATTTGAGAGCCTTACTAGATGTAAGACGCCCATCACAGAAGTTTTGATTGAGATTGCTAACCTGTGCCAGCACAGTATGGTGTATTTAATTTGCTGGATAGTGCAAAAGCTCTAACAAGTTTTAAAATTGCAGCCAACTGAGGCATAACAGGAAAATTATTTTGTGTCCTGGCAAGTTAGAAAATCTGGGTTCTGAATCTCATTCTCCCTTTAACTAGCTATGTGGCCTTAGGGTGACCTTTAATCTTTTTTTAAGGACCTCTATTTCCTTACTGTAAAAATGAAGGAAGGGTTTTGAGTACATGGAAAGTCTCTCCCAGCTCTAACATACTCTGATTAATCATGCTCAATACTAATTTGATTCTCTATTATCGATCTCGGCCAACCTTAGATTTTTTTTTTATGAGTTCTTACATCACAAGTTGAGTTTTAGATTCTGCATCCTGCTCTTGCCCTGACTGCCTAGGTAAATGTGAACAAGTCTAGTTTTTAATTGTATCACAACTGGCTATAATGACCTTGAAATAATTGATAGGAAATTTTATCTGAACTCTTCCAAGAAAGGCATTGTGGAAATCCATGGAAGGGCCAGCCAAGTGGCTCAGTTGGTTAAGAGTTGGCTTGGGAACGCGAGCTCTGAGCAGCAGGGCCACTGGATTGGATCCCACATGGGCCAGTGATGCTGCACCCTCTACAGCTAAGATTGTGAACAATAGCTTGACCTGGAGCTGGGCTGTCGTGAGTGGCCGGCAACAGCGTAGGCTCTAGTGGGCTGCTGTGAGCTACCGTGTGTGGCCAGCAGCCAGCGTGAGCAGCCAGCAGCTGGTGAGAGCTGCCGTGAGCGGCCGTCCAGTGGCCGGTGACCCATCTGCCTCAGCTTGGAAGAGCACAGTGATCATAATACCAACATGGGCCAGTGAAGCGGTGTCCTCCACAACAAGACTGAAGAACAAAAGGACAGCAACTTGTCCGTTCCCCTCCCGCAATTCCCCAATAAAATAAAATAAAATAAAAAAGAAATCCATGGAAGAATAATTATACTACTTGAGTTCAGGCACTTGATCTCCATAACCTATAACCATATCCACTCTGGGATGCCTCTGTGAAATAGCTTGACTCAATATTATTCGAATTATTTTTTTTTTAATCTGTAAATGTTCATATGTTCATAAAAGTGGTCAACACTTTTGAGTTGCATTTCTTCTGATATTTAATAATACTTCTGAAATTTTACAGTTAAACACAACTAGTTTTTTTAATGATGCTGTTGCTTTTCTTCAGCCCAAAGACGGTATGGCTAAGCAAAGATTTAGAAGCATAGAGTTGAAACTTCTTTATTATTAATAATATAATTCATCAGTGATAAATAATAGATTTACTAAATTTATATTAGTAAGTTATTAAATGGTAGTGCCACACCTTCCTCTGTCCTTTTAATGTTGTGTGTATGTGTGTGTGTGTGAGAGAGAGAGAGAGAAAGAGAGACAGATTAGAAAGGCGATGCTATCCCATTGACTATTTAGACCTAAGAATTAGAGATTAGTAACAAATTGGCTACTGGCTTGCCTTACCTCACCTTCATCTCTAAAATGAGAAGGATAATACTAAAGCCTAGAGAAAGGATTAATTTATAATTAACAGACATTCTGATGATTATATATTCAGGGTGGATTATACTTATATATTTTACCACAATAGAACACTTGAACCATAAATGGAGACAGTACAATCCATTGTTCAAAACTTATTAAAATTAAGAATAAATACTTGTTCCAGGGGAAAACATTCAGCATCTGGCGACTGAATGATCTTTGTGACCTGACGCGGAATGTATCGTTGTTCTTGTTTGGAGAGGTTCACAAACAACTCTGGAAGACTGAGCAGGGTACCGTCATAGGGCTCCTCAACGCCAACCCCATGAAGCCCAAGGATGGGTCAGAGGAGGTAAGAATCTGTTTCTGTGATTAGTCAAGTTCTGTCAAAAACATTTGTATTGGTCTTCCTCCAGGTAGTAAGTCATGCTTTTATATTATTATAGCTCCATTAACCTGGTTTTTTGTTTGTTTGTTCATCCCTCATTCACCAGTATTCTGAATGTCCACCTACTTAAAGTGTTTTGTATCATCATCTTTCATTGTATCTTTTCAAATTAGTTCCAAGGTTCCTGGAGTTTTTTGAACTATTACACTTAGGTGTTCTTAGATCTCGTTCATAAATTTCCATGGCAGCATCAAGAAGGCAAGGTTTTATAGTTGACAAGACTTTGTTCCCTTAGTACAACCATAGCTACAACTTAGAATCAAAGCGGATTTTTACCTTTCTCAAGCAGCACTACAGTTTCAGTACTACCCACTGATGCTCTAGTAAATTGTAAATCTAGATTCAGTGTGAATGGGACAGACCATTTGTCCATCTGACCCAGCAAGAAGCTTCACCTTGTAGACAGATTATTATCAGGAGGAGGTAGAGACAAAGTTTTTTCATTCCTTGTTTTTGTGAAAGAATGGCAACAAATCTTTACTTACTAGTTTCAATGAGTTTGGCTGCAAGTAACAGAAGAACTTCAGTCACAGTTTCTTTTAACAGTAAACAGTGGGGTTTGTTTTTCTTACATAAGAAAAAAATCCAGACATCAGCAGTATAAGTGATGTCAGGGCTTGTGTCTGTAAGTCTCTCAGCCTTTTCCTCTTGGTCACAAGATGGCTTTGGGCTCTCACCATCACATCTCCATTTAAGGCAGAAAGTGAGCCAGTGCCTCTATCTGCTTTTATCAGGAAAGCAGAAACTGTCCCAGCTGCCTTCCCTACTGACTCCTCCTTCAGTCTCATTGGCCAGAATATAGTCACATGACCATTGCTAGCTAGAAGGAATGTTGGGAAAACTGCGAACAAGATCCATTACCTTATGCTGAACATTTGCCAACTCAAATAAAATCAAGAATCTGATACCAAAGACATAGAGGATGGCTATTGGGTAGAGAATTAAATGTGTCTTCTACGTCTTCCATTTCTAAAACTGTTTTATAGGGCTCTGGCTTTAAATTCCTTTAGACCAGCGGTTCTCAACCTTCCTAATGCCGCGACCCCTTAATACAGTTCCTCATGTTGTGGTGATCCCCAACTATAAGATTATTTTCGTTGCTACTCTATAACTGTAATTTTGCTACTGTTATGAATCGAAATGTAAATACCTTTTTGTTTTCCGATGGTCTTAGGCGACCCCTGTGAAAGGGTCGTTCGACCCCCAAAGGAGTCGCGACCCACAGGTTGAGAACCGCTGCTTTAGACTAATAAAGTCTTCTTAACTCCTACCAACCATTCTTTTATCCATTCTTGTTTATAAAAGGCCATACCTTTGTCTGCTTTTAATTCCACTTCTTTTCTACAGGTGTGCTTATCTATTGATCATCCTCAAAAGATCTTGATTATGGGTGAAGCTATTGACCTGGGAACCTGTAAAGCAAAGAAGAAGAATGGAAAACCGTGTACACAGACTGTTAATTTGGTTGGTTTCAGCCTTATTGGGATGGTTTCTGCTAAAGAAAGGAGCTAATAGGAATAAATTGTAGGTACTGTAGTGGTAATAACCTTTGGAACTGAGTTTCCTACATAACAGGAAGTGTCAAAGTGAAAAAATTGAATGTGTGGTTAATAATTGCCAATTTAAAAAACTGAGAGCAAGGGAAAGATTTAACCTCTTAGGAAAGTCATCTTTTATTGTCAGCTGACTAGGAGGCATAAGAAACAGAATTTTAGTTTGCTCTTAATTTTTTACTCCTACCAACCATTCTTTTTATCCATTCTTTGTAAAGTGTCAGAGATCAAACACTATGATGAAATACACTGAAAACCTTATTTTGCTCTATACTTTCACTCCATTATACCTTTTCTTAGAGCTTTTTTTTTAAGCTTCATTGAGATATAATTCACATACCATCCAATTCACTTTTTTAAAGTGTGTGCAGTTCATAATGTTTTAATATAGTCACAGAGTTATGCAACCTTCACCACTATGTAATTTCAGAATATTTTCAATACCCCCCTAAAAAAAACCATAGCAATTCCTTAGTCACGCCCCATTCCCCTCTCTGAGCCCCTGGTAAGTACTCATCTACCTTCTGTCTCTATGGATTTGCCCATCTGGACATTTTGTATAATGGAGTCATATAGTATGTGGCCCATTGTGTCTGGCTTCTTTCACTTAGCATAATTTTGCGAGGTTCATTCATGGTATAGCATGTATCAGCATTTCATTCCCTTTTATGTTTAAATAACAGTCCTGTGTGGATAGTCCACATCTGTTCATTAGTAAGTAGACCTTTGGGTTGTTTCTACCTTTTGGTTATTATGCATAATGCTGCTGTAAACATTCATGTACACGTTTTGTGTAGGTGTATGTTTTCAGTTCCCTTGGATGTATACCTGGAATGGAATTTCTGGGTCATATGGTGGCTCTGTTTAGGTTTTTAAGGAGCTGCCAGACTGGTTTCCAGAGTGGCTTTTACACCCTTAACAGCAGTATGTGAGGGCTCCAGTTTCTCCATAGTCAGCCCACACTTGTTATTGCCTCTCTCTGATTACAGCCATCCTAGTGTATGTGAAGTACTTCTTAGAGCTCTTTGAAAGATTAAACGACAGGTTCTGGTTTCATCTCATCCCTGCCTAGTAGATGAACTAGTGAGCAGGAAATAGAAAGGAGGGAGATAGTTGGTAAAAGAGATCTTGGAGCTAAGTACCTGACAGATCTCCACATAAGACCTAGAACTTCATGGCCACCATACCTAAGGGCTCACCCAATAGAACAATAGTACATTGTTTCTCTTTGTTTCTTTCACTGAAGGGATAGCATTTGTCCTCGAGGCAACCAGAGAACTAGAAAAAATCTCATTAGAAGCTGATTTTGCTTTATTTGTTAAATTAATTTTTATTGAGGTCCAATTCACACAATGTACAAGTAACCATTTTTAAATGTACACTTCAGTAATATTAGTATATGCACTCTGTATGCAACCACTGGCTCTCTAGTTTCAAAACCATTTCATCACCCCATAAAAACACATTGTACCCAGTAACTGACCACTTCTCATGCCCTTCACCCCATCCCCTGGTGACCTCTAGCCTGCTTCCTGTCTCTGTGGACTTGCCTGCTCTGGATATGAGATACAAGAGGAATCATACAATACACGACCTTTTGTATCTGGCCTCTTTCACTTAGCATAATGTTTGCGAGGTTCGTCCTAGAAGCTGATTTTATTTTGATTGTAGAAGGAGGGCAAAGGGAGTGAACTACATCAGTTTTTCTCACACCTGACTAGTGCTTTAATGGGAACTTAAGGGAAGAACTTCTTTCCCCTTAGTCACTGCATAGCTGCACTTTGGGAATGGCCTTGGAGGTCAGTAGGGAGGGCTTTGCACACAGAATGGTTCCCGCACAAAGCTGGAAAGGGACTGTGTGTATTTATTTTGTTTTCTGGGCCCTTGCCCTCATCCTGAGGCAGCCTGTCTTCCGTTTTGCAGAAGGACTGCGAGTACTGTCAGTATCACATACAGATACAGTACAAGAAGCTCAGTGCCAAGCGAGCTGACTTGCAGTCTACCTTCTCTGGAGGACGAATTCCGAAGAAGTTTGCCCGCAGAGGTGCCAGCTTGAGAGAACGACTATGTCAGGATGGTTTTTACTATGGAGGGGTTTCTTCAGCATCGTGTGCAGCCTCAATGTAAGACTCCTGAGCTGGTTTGGGGACAAGGATCTTGCTTGGCTTATAAAAAATAAACCCAGTGGTTGTACATTTCTGTAATGGTCCTAGAAGACTTGTACAGGTTTATCTTTCATACGTCACTGCCTGGAACAAGGTAGATGAGGGCATTTGCTTGTTTTTTTTTTATTCCCAGGCAGAGAGTAAAACCCACAGAATGGGGAGAAATCGAGTCATGTCGGGATGGTCTTTAACAGAGAGCCCACGCTTCCTGTTTGGGTCCTAATGTGAATAGTGGACCTTTGTCAGGGCTGATTGTTTGGCCATTAAAAGAGTGTTAATCATTGTGTTGACATCCTTTAAATCATTTCCCTCACAACTGTTAGTGAAGTTGCAAACCTCTTGAAACCCACATTTAATCAGTGAACAAATATGCAGCACAGCCTCACACGGGTGTGGGAGGCTGGTGTACCTGACCTCTCTTCTGGGGATCTCAGTGTCTCCAATGAGGCCCTGAAATAGGTGGCTGATGGCCTTGTCCTGTATTGTGTAAAGCACATCTGAGGACATGACAGGTGGGGACCTGGCACAAGGGAGCTCCAGTTGGTCCAAGGACAAAACATAGATTTTGTTCCTAGTTCAACACAAATTAGGCAAGAGGACTCTTACCTCCTGCCTGTTTTGTAATAGCAAGCACATTTTTAAGATTTAAAATAATTTATTTTCCAAAATGCAAAAAGCAATATACATATATTATATAAAAATATTATGTATGTATATGTTAACTCCTTGGTATTTATGCTTCTAGGTTGTTTTCATGTTTGCATATGTATAAAGTTTTAGTAATATAAAATGAAATCTTGAAAGTACCTGTACCTTACGACCTTTTTTTAACATAATTAATGTTTTCCTTATCAAATGTTTACTTGTGACATTATTTTTAGTGGCTACATAGTATTCTTTTACATGGCTCTGCAGATAATTTATTTAAACAGTTTGCCATAGATAAACCTTAATGGTGGTTCCAATTTTTAACATTACAAAGCTTCCATTAATATCCTGTTTTTGTATAGTCTTTAATTATTTGAAGATAAATTCCTAACCTACTTGATTAAAGTGTTGTCTTTTTAAAAATTTCTTTTGCCAAATTGTCCTTCCCGATGTCCTCAAGCAAATTCATTGGTTGCTATTCTTTCATATCTGTGACACATGCTTATAACAGTTACACTTTAGAGCCATGGTATTAAGAAGATATAGATATCCGCCGCTTTGAGAAACTTTGACAGTTTGTAATAAATGAGTACTTTCTTGTTTTCTTTACCTCATCAGAGCACTGAAGTTCAGTGATTTTCCTTTGCGGGGGGTGACTCTTGTCATTACAGTGCAGCAGCTGTAGCTCCTAAAAAGAAGATTCAAACCACACTGACTGATTTTGTCATGAAGGGCACAGACTTGATCCTTCAGGAAACGCAACGAAAACTTGGTAACTTTGTTTCTCAAGATTACATTTCTATCTCCAGCTTAAGTGTGTATTCTTTAGGGTTGAAAATGGTCACAGTTCATACTGTAAGTTATAGATACCCACTCATCGCAAGTTTAGTGAGTGATGTGGTCTAAGCTGAAGGAATCAAGCTTCTTAAGAAAAAACAGTATATTAATCTTTGCTTTGTCTTAGCTTAGTATACTTTTTTAAATTTCTTGTATCCAGATCTAACTCTTAATGTCCAGTATTAGAATAAGTAGTATCACATTTCTGTCAAACCTACCTGCAATCTTTCGTTAAAACAGGTCTAGGTCGGAGAATGCTGCCTTCAGCTTGTACTTGGGGCTTTGTTCATAAGTGTGGTCAGGGCCTAGCATGAACCCTTACCCATAGTGCAGATTCCAGAAATAGCATATGAAATGACCCTATAGATATTAGTATTCCAACTGTTACTCAAATTAAGGTATACTTGTCATATCCTTGCAGTCCTACTAGTCTGATGTTAGAGGTTAAGGATTCTTTTTTCCTCTTGGTGTTCCATCTGCTTCATTTACAAATGACTGAGTTACTAATGCAGAGTTTAAAAAGTGATGTCACATGACATCAAGCCGTGTGAATTTTGAGTTCTCTTAAGCTGGTGTTTCTATATTCCAGGAATACCCCAGAAGAGCTTGTCTTGCTCTGAGGAATTCAGGGAATTGATGGACTTGCCTACCTTTGGAGCCAGAAATTTGAAACAACATTTAGCTAAAGCCAACTCACCAGGTAGAGTCAGCTTGTACCTGCTAAGCGTCCATACCTCAGTTCCTATGGCCTCTCAGAACCCTCTCAGTCTGTGACTTGTGTTTTAGGGATCTTGGGGAGCCCAAAACCTGCATTCCAGTCTATCTCGGCATCAGCCCTCTTGAAGCAACAGAAGCAGCAGATGTTGGAGATGAGGAAAAGGAAAACAGAAGAAATAGAGAAACGGTAAGAGTAACAGATTTACTGTCCCCTGCTTGGATAACTTATCTCAGGAATCCTCAGAATGTCTCCATAGAGTTAAAAAATGTGACTTTACATTTTGTATAATTGGTTACCTTTTCAACTTGGAAAGTGTTAAAATAATTTTACTATAACCTAAAAAGATAGCATTTAAAGTTACATATTTCTGACTTAAGCTAGTCAATCTGGAGACCAAGTGGTACAGGTTATAGTAATTAGGATCACCGCGGAAAAGAGAAAGGAGTCACCATCTGAAATGGGTTTTGTAAAAGGAGAAAGCATGTGGTAACCTGTTTGGCTCCTGTTTCTTAGTTTTACCACAGTTAGGTTTGTAATTACAGGCTGAGCCAGAAAGTAGATTTTGCAGTTGTTCAGGTAAATGGTAAAAATTAGGCACTGAAAATGGAGAGTCATTTTCGAGGCAAAAGCAAGTGAAATGGATGTGGAAGGTAAATGAATCACAGGTTCTTCAGCTCAGGTTACGTATCTGAATAGTAATAAGAGCTACTGTTGATGGACACTTAACATGTACCAAGCACCATGCTATGCACTGCATCAATGCAGTGTCTTGTTCAGTCCATACAATAATCTGTGAGGTGCTGATGGGTTATCTACGGAGGTAGTTATCATGTGCTAACAGGCGGCATAAATACATATACACATGGACGTAAAAGTACATGTGGAATTCTGGGGAAATAAGAGAGCACCTGTCAATTTAAAGGCATTATAATTTGTAATTTTTCAGAATTTTGCTGCCCAATATCTTTGGGCAGGATGTGATAGGCAATTTGCAGACTCAGCCTGGAGCTGGCAAGAGTGGGTATGTGTCGTGAAAAGAATACTCGCCTGGGATTACCTGGTGCTAGTCCTGAGCCTGTCACTATGAGCAGTGGGGTCTGGGCCCCCAATTTCTTCATCTATAAGTTGAGGGGTTTGGACTAGGTGATTTCTGATGTTTGTCGTTTTTAAATAGCCCTTAAAACTATATATAAAATAGTCGCCGTGGGAATTATAGAACCTTTCTGTTAAGGGCGCCCAAATGTGTCACTTGTGGTTATCCCTTCCCAGTAGAGTAAATTAAAATGCAGAGAGATTCAATGAGCTCCTAAAGGTCCTAGGCTAAGCAGAGGGTTAGGAATATAGTCCACAGCTCACCTACAGGGCTGTTCCGTAGACAGCACCCACTGGAAAGCCAACTGTTATAACAGTTAGTTCTAAATTGGTAAAACAATGAGAGCTTCTCAATGAAAAATCAGTCAACTGAAGAGTTAGTGAAACTAGCATTCTTATTGCATTCTAATCTGAATTATTAACCAAGGAGGGGAAATTATTTTATTGACACCTACTTATCAGCTGGTGGCCTGCCTACAGTCTCCTAGTCTTTATAGTTTGTGTTTGCATAGTTTGTGACTGCATATTTCTTTAAAGATTTCTGCAAAGTTCAAGTGAGGTCGTGAGCCCAGCTATGCCATCGTCTTCTCGACAGCCACCTTCTCGTTCTCCACCAACGAGGGCTGGGTTCCCCAGGTTGAAAGGAACCCCAGCCACACAGGCGCCCAAGCTGGGGCGAGGCATCTCAGAAGGAGATGATGTTCTTGTTTTTGATGAGTCACCGCCTCCAAAACCAAAACTAAGTGCTTTAGCAGAAGCCAAAAAGGTAACTGACAGCTATTTTCTTCAACACTTGAATTTGCATTCCATAATACATAGCTGGAGTTTCAAATTTTATGTAACTATGACCAGGAGACACAGAGTCCTAATAGCTATTTATTGATCATGATAGAGTCAAAAGAATTTTAAGTTACAATGGTGTCAACATAATGCCATTAATTTAATCCAAGAAAATTAACTGTTAATTGTTTCACAACTGGAGACACTGGCATTAGGGAAAAAAATGTTGAAATTGTTGAGGCAAGAATGTAAAATAGTGGTTTAAAGAATCCTTCTTTAAAAGAAATCACACAGGGGGTGGCCAGTTAGCTCAGTGGGTTTGGGCGCAGTGCTCATAGCACCAAGGTTGCCGGTTCAATCCCCACATGGGCCACTGAGCTGTGCCCTCCACAATTAGATTGAAACAACTGCTTGACTTGGAGCTGATGGGTCCTGGAAAAACACACTGTTCTCCAATAAAATCCTTTAACAAAAGAAAAGAAAGCACACAGAAGCCCAATCTGTAGACATAAAAGCTGAGTTGCTCTTATTGAAGTGGGAGGTGAGGGTACTGAGAACACTGCCTGCTCAGCACTTCTCACCAGTCTGCTTCCTGTGTTACCCTGAGCCCCTGTCTTCTCTTTGTTCTGGTAGCAGCTATAACCTGTGGAGGGCAAAGGCTAGCTGCAAGCCAAAGCCGTACCTACAGTAATAACATAACAATTGCACACCTTCATTACTATTACTCTACCTGTGATGGATGCCTACAGGCTGTTTTCTACATCCAGGCACATACTTTGCACATTTTCATTTCACTCACAACCACAACCCTAAGAGATAGGTAAGTGTTGTCACCCCCATTTTGTAAATGTAGAAAATGAGGCTGAACAATTAAGCAACTAAGGTTAGAAACTAGTAAATGGTAGAGCTGGAATTCTAAAACAAATTTCCAAAATCTTTATGATGTTCTTCTGTGGGTCTAGAAGCCTACAGGTTAGCTGATGTTAAACTATTGATATTTAAATAAGCTGGGACTTTATTTACTAACTTGTAGACCTGTCTCTCATGCTTTTAAATCTTAATAATTATAATAATGCTAAGTAAAATGAAGATGTAGTTTGTATTTGAAAGCAGCCAAAATTCATTGGTTAATAACTGGAAAGGGGCACAGAGTTACAGATGCCTATCCCATCTTTAGATTTTTATCTCTCTCTCTTCTCTTTTTTTTCTAGTTAGCTGCTATAACCAAATTAAGGGCAAAAGGCCAGATTCTTACAAAAACAGACCCAAACAGCATTAAAAAGAAGAAAAGCGACCTCCAGGATGTGCTGGAGCTGAAGGAACGTGTAGAAAAGAGCGCCACATTTTCTCCTCAAGGTACTTCAAATTTCCAAGTTCACAGCAGGAAAGAAAAACTGTTTATAGAGGAAATATTTAAACCATGACCAGCGTACCTAATATCAAGTCACTATTTTACTTCAGTTTAACGTCTAGGTAGAATACCTAAATAGAATTTCCACAACTGGAACTGATGATTGTTTTTTATAATCACATTAAATTGAAATTGTGCACAATTTGAAAACTTGAGCAAAGGATTACTCATTGAATCTTGGTACCTATATATTAGTATAAAGGTTTACTTTGAAAGAAGTAGAATTTCTTTGTTCCGAATTGCCCTATTTTTATTTTTAAAATTCTGAAGTTGACAGTGTCATTTTAACATCCATTCGTAAATAGGATTTTTATTGTTAGCTATTATTATAATCAGTTCCTGTTTTAAGGTGAAAAAGAGATTCTGATCCAGTGGTCAAATCTGTCACCACCACCCCCATATTTTAGTTTCTACTTCTCAGTTCACTTTTTAAGAGCCTTCCTCTCCTGGTACCTAGAAGGATGAATTAAGTTTGAAGGGCCTGGTGCGCAGAGACAGAGAGAATGGGGTAAGCTGAGTCTCGGAGACATGCTGGCTTCTGAAATTCTTCTGGAACAGCTGATGCTTTTTCTTTCTGCTCTAGCTGAAGATGAATTGGAGCCTGCCAGGAAAAAAAGGAGAGAACAGCTTGCCTACGTGGAATCTGGGGAATTTCAGAAAATTTTAAAAGCAAAATCAAAGCACACAGGGATCCTGAAAGAAGTAAGAGCTCAAAAGATCAAAGACGGTAGAGATGCCCTTCAGACTCACCGTGCTTTGTCATGGGATGGAGAATTGGTTTCTTTTATCTCAACTAAGACATAGCTGTGTGTCAATTTGTTCGAGTTCGTGTTGAAGAACAGGAATATTTCCAGTAGATTTTAGTTCTATCGTTGTCCTCACATTGAAGAATATAATGTAACATTATTTAAATAGACTTCAGTATTATAAAAATGTTTACATGTAGTTATGGCTGTGAACTTACATTTAAATGGCTCACCACTATCTACTATTTGCTGCTTTGCAATGTGAGGGGATTTTTCTATTCCAGTATTTTTGTATTGGTGGGGTGACAAGTTAGCTCAGTTGGTTAAGAGTGTGGTGCTGATAACAGCAAGGTTGCCGGTTCTATTCCCACATGGGTCACTGTGAGCTGTGCCCTCCTTAAAAGAGTCAACTATGCCATTGTAGCGTGAAAGCAATGTGTGACCAATGACCATGACTGTTCTCCAATAAAATTAAAAATAAAAAAAAAATTATATATATATGCCTTTCAAATGCCCAGCAGTTACCAACTCAACACTTGGAATCCCCCTATTTAATAAGTATTTTGTATTGCTTCCTAATTATCCCAAAATAGAATTTGTGGATCATATAATCACCTAACTAGTTGAATTATATTGAAAGTGTCAATATGATAGCCTAGTTGTAATATAAAAAAGAAAAAAGGGAAATATTTATATTAAAAATATGTATTTCATTATGTAAATACATGAGCACAGTTAACCTAGAAGAAATAATGAAGTAATCAGAGTGTTGGATTTATAAGTGTTGTAAATATTTGAGACAGCTAGAAAGGAATACTTATATAGATGTGTTTTCTTGGTTGTTTAATTACCGTGGGCCTATTTCTTCGAAAATATGATTTTTGTTTTTAAATAGTGAACAATCCTGGGAAACGTTTAAAGACACCAAAGTGCAACTGTCCCTCCATATCCCCAGGAGTTGCCTAGCTGCACTCTTGCAATATTCAGTGTATATTAAAACCATGTATAGATATTGTAGGGTTGTATATAAAGCAGTTAGGTTCAAGGGTTATAATCAGGTTTTTCATCTACATGGTGTCTCGTAAAACATTCAGAGCAATCCTTTGTTGTATGGCAGACTGTTCTGTACATTGCAGATGGCATGGCACCCACGGCCCCTGCCAGTAGCCTGGGTAGCGATCACGGGGATAACAAAAAAGCTCTCCCACAGATTTTCAAAATGGCCCCTTGGGGCAGTAGTGCCCCCATTTAGTGTTCTAATCTACTCTTCCTTTGATTAACATGGCTAGTGAGATGATTATATATTGTATTTTTCTACTGGACTTGAAACTTAATCAGGAGAGGTGCTCGAAAGACCGTAGAGCTGCGCTTCTGGACTCTCATGGCCACCAAAGGCCCTGGACCCTGTGCCTTATGTAGCTGCGCTGATTCCAGACCTGTGACCACTTTCTGCTGGGAATACCTCTGCGCTGGCATATCTCCTCCCTATTGTCCTGAACAGCCAGGAATTGCTCCTGCTAAGTGCATGTTCTGGAGAAGTGTATAGAAAAGACTGGGCTATAATCACTGGGGAGGCATGGAATGCCTTCCATGTTCGAGTCTGTATTAGGACAGTAGGACTGATTCCCTTCCGGTGTGCAGTTGACCTGGTGGCACTGTTAGAGATGACAGTTGTGGGTTTTTTTATTTTTTTTATTTTTTAAGCTGAGCCATCCTGCCACCGGTTGGCAGCTCAGTGGCTCTCAGCTCGGGCTGGGCATCGAACCGCTGTTGCTCAGAGCTCACACTCTTGAGCGAGCTCTTAACCAACTGAGCCACTCGGCCAGCCCGAGATGACAATTTTTTTAAGTTTGTATTTAGTGGTTTAAAAATAACCAAATGCTTTCATACCCTTTATTCTTTGCATGTTAAGAGCTTGTGTTTACTTGTGATCATCATTTGGTTTGCATGATCCAGTGCCCTCATGACAGTGAATGTATCTCTTCAGTTCTCTCTGATAATTACTGAACTGCTGTCTGGGTATATGTTGGGTTTGGCATAAGGCCTCCTGTATGCCTTGTCATTCCAGGCTGAGGCGGAGCTGCAGGAACTCTACTTTGAGCCACTGGTGAAAAAAGAACAAATGGAAGAAAAGATGAGAAACATCAAAGAAGTGAAATGTCGAGTAGTGACATGCAGGAAGGTGAGTGCGGGAGACGGTTCTGACCATGGGCCCTATCTTGTGCTGTTGTGACGTAGCAGGACATGGCGGATCTGTGGTATGTGTGGCCATGTCTTATGACCAGAGACCTGCTTAGGTCATTCATTTATGACCTAACGTCTCTTCCCATCTGCCTTGGACCCAAGTTGTTCTTACCTCTTTCTCACGTTTCTAGCTGAGGGTGTCCACATAGTTCGTTCACAGCCCCTGGGACCTTGGTTGAATGACTTGATTTGGCATCACATGTTATGACCAACTACTATTGTTCCTTTGTACTCGGAGCTTAACGTACTACATTGAGTCTCAAGGCAGAATTTGAAGTATTGCCTTTGTTTGCAGAATTTTTACCCTAAGTCTATTAGAAAATATAAAATCCCCTGTTCCTCAACATTAATAAAAAATACCCCAAAAAAAACCAAATAACAAACAAAAACACTTGCTGAGCACTTTTGCTTCCTTTACCACTCATTTTATACCTGCCCGGCTCATCCGCCTCATATACATGTGTAAGGAGGAAGAAGAGGCTTAGCTTACCAAGTACAATTTTCTCTTATCTTTATTCCTTTAAAATCCTTAGATTTTGCTTTACATTTAGGGGGCAGCCTTAAACTAGCCACCACCTAAAAGTAGGGCTTCCTTGACAGGATTCAGACCTGGGAGAGCAAGTAAAGGTTTTACTTCAGATGACACAGCTTCTCCTCTGACAAAGTGGGAAACCTGAGCACCTAGCTGGTGTATTAGTTTCCTGTTGCTGCTCTGACAAATCACCACGGACTTGGTAGCGTAAAACAACACACATTTATTTTCTTACAGTTCTGTAGGTCAGAAGTCTATGTGGGGCTCACAGGGCTAAAATCTAGGTGTCCTTAGCGCTGTGTTCCTTATTCTGCCTACCACACAGCTGGCATACCACTCTGCTCTGTCCTTGTTGAGGCTGCCAAAGTCAGAAGTTATTTATCTAGACCCAATGTAATTAGCGGAAATGAACCTTGCATTGTCCCAGAAACTAACCTTTTTCGACCTTTACCCATCGTTTCTTGTTCTCTAGAGCCCTTTAAAGAATCAAAATTAAGTGAATTACTTAATATCTCTGTCTTGGTTTTGCTGCTTAAAAAATAAGAGTGGTAATAAGCTTATACCCTTTTCAGAGGCCTTGTAAGTGAAAATAAATGAGCTGCCGATCACCTTTCCTAAATGGGCCCCAGCCCTCAGTGTTCTATAACCAAGGGACTGCAGCGACTAGAGGACAGACCTGTGAGGCTATTTAGAGGTTTCCAGTACTTCTTCTTCACCTGCCCTTGCTGTTGTCTTGATGTCACAGAAAGCTATGGTGTACTTCGTGCCTGACCAGAAATTGGAGCAAACATGAGAAAAAGTGGTATCAGTGTGAGCAACCCTAGAAAACACAGGGGTCTTCATCACTAAAAGATAAGGATAACTCCACTAGCAAGCACGTGGGTGGTGACGAGAGAGCAGAGGGTTGAGCTCGTAGCAGCCAACCAGTTTCTCCTTCAAAGCTCCTGACCAGATGCTTGCCCTTCTGTTGGTTTTATGCAGTGTGCCTACACCCACTTCAAGCTTTTGGAGACCTGCGTCCAGGAGCAACACAACTACTACTGGCATGACGGCATAAAGAGGTTTTTCAAGTGTCCCTGTGGAAACAGATGTATCTCCCTTGACAGGCTCCCCAAAAAGCACTGCAGGTATGAGAACTGACTGCGGTTCCTTGTCCCATCTAGGCTCCTTGAACCCAATCCTGGTGTGCTGCTGTTCCATTGGAACATTGGACAATCTTATGTGACGCTCAAACCTTATTTCTGTGCCTTTTCACAGCTCCTTGAGGGAAGGACCCCTGCCCTCGTCACTGCTTTATCCCCAATACTTAATATAGTGCCTGGCCCATAGTAGGTCTCAGAAATGTTTGTTGAGTAAATAAAGTATGGGTGAGGTGAATTCAGGAATATGTGTGTTTGCTAGGGGTGGGGAGATGGGACTTTTTCCCTCCACTCTTAAGCAGTATTTTTTTTACTTTTGGTGGGAACTTCAGATGCAGAGGCAGAGCCGCTGTGTTTAGCATTACTCACATAGAGCACAACGCCAGTGACACCCTGTGGGGTTCAGGGTGGGTGATCACGTGCAGCTTGTAAAACATTGTCACCGGTCCATTCAGCGTTCTCCTCATTTATGGACAATCACGTGCCACATAATGATGTTTCAGTCAACCATGGACCATGTGCATGACAGTGGTCCCATAACATTGTAATGGAGCTGAAACATTCCTGTTGCCCAGTGATGACGTAGCCGTCGTGACATGGTAGCTGTCATTTTGCCATAGCCGTTGTAATGCCGTAGCCATCACGTCAGAGAACAAGGCATTTCTCACATGTTTGTGGTACTGCTAGTGTAAAGAACCTACTGCATGGCCAGTCATATTTCCCTGCTGCTCTAGAAGTCCCCACGAAAGTTAACGTGTAGTTATATGTAATTCTTAATGTCCCCGATAATTGCCTTTTTGACCCAAGGATTAATAATGTTTAATTTCCAAATATATGGGATTCATTTTAGCTATCTTTTTTTTTTTTTGTCATTAATGACTGACTTTATTGCGGTATTCTTAGAGGACATAATTTGTATGCTATTGATCCTTTGGAATTTGAGGCAATTTCAGGATCACCTTTAGTCTTCCTCCGGTTGTGTCACCAGGTTATTCTCACTGCCTTTTTGTGTGCTTGTCTGGTTGTGGTTGCTGTTTGCTTCCTGGAACCTATTCTTCGCTCTCACTTCAAGTTTCTCCAGGGCCGAACTGTTGGAAAGGGGGCTGGGACTTCATCGTAGTTCACCACCTTGTCAGGAGCTAATTTGTGAATTGTGTACAGTCTAGATTATAATCGTTTTAAGTACCTATGTGTATATTGATACTTGACTTCTCTCCAAAATATTGTAACGACAGCGTATGTGAAACATTTGCCTATCGGAGAAATTCCGTTCATTAAAGATAAGCAG